TCAAAGAATAGAAAATTTATTCTTCTGGCTGCTCATCTTCTTAGAGGCTGTTTTACTGTCTTTTTGGATATGCCTCCATTGCATACCACTACCTTGACAAAGCCAATATGTGCCAAGTTACTTATCGAATTCTGCGAGATTTTCTTTGAGGTTTGGATATTATCTTATTTTCAGCCCGCAATAACTTTTCCTGAATGATATGCAGCTGATAATCTTTGTTTACGCTACTTGCGATCACAAGCTGTGAGCACACAAAGAAGACACGACGCAGCTATAATTAGAGTCCACAATGACCTTCCTTTGTCGTGCACTTTCATAATGAAAATCACGCATCACAATTTGCTGTATTTCACTCCTAGTAGATACGACGCGCACACGCCCTATGCAAAACAACGCAAACCGATCATAACATGTGCTCAGGTGCTATTGTGTGACGACGATAACAATGCATCTGACTCCTCTGATGGGAATGCTAGTGCTGCATATGTGGTTTCCGATTTCACTTTCATTCGGCTGTTTTTTTTTTTGCCCCCCCTTCCCTTGCATTTCCTCCTCTAGCCAAGCACTTGTGTTCTTCTGTTCTCTCCTGTACTTTTGTTGAGGAGAATACAAAATAATGAATGCTTTTTGTTACTTTCTTTACAAAAAGCCAGCCTTTCCTCAACCTACAGGCTAGGGGTAAGGGAAATACCAGCTTCATGCGCTGACCTCTCTTTTTCACTGATCTTGCTTTCTCCCTCTATGTTGCAATTTGTTTTCGATGTGCTTTGCTTCTTTGCACCAGGAAGTTTTTTATTTTGCTTTCTCTTATTCACCTGAATGCCCTCATGAAGACTTTAATGTTAATTGAGCAGAACCCCCATCATTGTTGGTCGCTGCAAGAGCTCGTCTCGACAGAAGAGGCCTGTTACGCGCTTCGTTTTAAGCTGACTTTTTTTGCATTTAGTCTAAGGAAACCAAACAAACACCCCCGTGTTGCTCGTCTTAAGCAAGAATTCGTCTTAACAGAGTTTGTCTAAACAGGAGTTTACTGTAGTATGGTATGGTGAAATACTATACTGTGAGCGTACAGCTGTAGCATGTTTGTTTGCTTTTTAATAAAGTGGACACGCAGTGCAAAATAAAATGCCCAACAACAGCAAAAATGGAATGTACAAGTTCACAAAAGAGAATTCAGTTTTTTTTTTAAGGGAAGTTGAACTTTTCGATCATGAATTATCACGATGATGACTTTACATAAATCAATATGTAAAGTCATCAATATGATGACTTTACATATGATCAATACTAAGAATAACAATAATAAATATTTTTATCCGTATCTCATTTAGCATTGTAATAACACAGTGACAGCTCTGAAGGTGGGTGAAGTGAGTCAGTCGCATGCCGTGTGCTGGCACGCTTCATACACAAACTTCAGGATCGTGGTCATGACAAGCGAGCAGTCCTATCAAATTCACGAAGCAGGTTTATTTGCTTTATCAATGAAGAAAACTTGAACCACATGAAGTATGAATAGCAGAATATTCTGTACTGAGGATCAGAAAGAGACAGTGAAATAAACCCAGAACCTTCGTGTAAGCAAGGGAAAGAAATATAACACGAACACAAATCTGGGATGAGAGATAAAATGCACATACCAAAAATGCTAGTCAGAATTTAAAGGATGCATTACTCGAAGTTCGTAGGTTCGGTCCCTGCTCACAGCAAGTTATCTTTTTACCCACTTTTCTGTCTTCACATTTACATTACAATCGGGTCTAATAACTTCCCCTATACATTATTTGGCATTATTGTCTGTTATATCTCATTAATATTGTGTCAAAACACGGAAAAACGAGCCCTTAAGTACACACTTCTTTCCCTTATTCATTAACGAGGGTCTCGTACTGGCAGACTTGGTGTCGTTAGGTTGTATACGAAGGACTGTTGGTCAGCTGCCAGCTCGTGATAAGTTCACGTGCTACGTGAAGCCATACAGGCTCATAAAAAGAGTGTGCCACACTTGCTGCCAAGGCTACAGGTGGCCCTGACTGACACTCCCACGTTTAAATTCACATATAAACCCAATAAAGTGGCTGGGGGATAGTTGCCGCGGTAGCTCAGTGGTACAGCATCGAACGCGCTATTCGAAGGTTGCAGGCTCGGTTCCTGCTCCCGGCACCCACATTTCTTTCTTCACATTTACATTACAATGGGGTCTAATAGCTTTCCCTATACATTCTTTGGCATTATTGTCTGTTAGAAACATGGAAAAATGAGCTATTAAGTATACACTTCTTGCCCTTATAAAAATATATATATATACACACACACACTCCGAGCGAGCCTCTTCAAGGCTCGTCCCATGACAATGACACTACATGTCTGCTCACGTTATCATAAATAGAAGTTGCTGGCCCGGTGTCATCCACTCGCTACTCTCAGTTGGCCTCCTGTCAAAAGCAAGAGTCCTACTGCAAGCGCATGATTGAAGGCTTCTGCGGCAAGTTCACACTACCTAATGCCGGGTTGTGCGGACAGCTCAGGGGATTCCAGATTGAAAGGAACGTCCTACACTAATACATTTATAATTATGATGGGCACCGCTGTGTTCCCATTCTTCCACGTTCGCTTCATACGCAGGTCCTCGAGGCCTTTCACGACGACCCAACAGCTGGCTACTTGAGAGTGAACAAAACATATAGCCGCATTAGGAGTCGCTTCTTCTAGCCTGGTCTTTCCAACTCTGTCGCCAAGTACGTTTGTTCTTTCGCTCTACGTCAACGACGAAAATGATCAACTTCACTTCCTGCTGGCTTGTTACAATCAATCCCATGTCCGAAAACCTTTTTCTCCTGTTGAAATTGACCTAGTTGGACCTTTTCCTACAACGTCCGTAGGATACCGATGGATCGTGATGGCAGTTGCCCACCTCACGCAATATGCGGAGACTGCTCCTCTACGCTCTAATTCAGGCTCTGATGTGGCCACCTTCTTTCTCGAAGCCGTTGTCTTGCACCACGGTGCGCCCCGCGTTATTTTGAGCAATCGCAGCAAGACTTTTCTGTCCGCAGTAAATGATGAACTGCTTAAAAGCTGTGGCACAGTTCACAAGACGTCGGCATTCCACCCTCAAACTAATAGCATTACGGAGCGATTCCATCTCACACTTATTGATATGGTAGCCATGTACATTGGACCAGCTCATGACAACTGGGACAAAATCTCCCCATTTGTCACTTTCGCGCATAATACCACCGTCCAACGTACAACTGGGTACTCACTCTTCTACCTCGTTTATGGACGTTCGGCGACATTTACGATCGACGCTTCATTCTTACGCACTACTACCGATCATTTTCTAACTATCCCAGAACAATTCATTTCGAGACTTCAAGAATGCCGGCAACTTGCTCGGCTTACAACGGAAGCCAGTCAACATGGTCGCAAGCAGCGATACGACATCTCTCGAGACGTTTCTTTCTGCCTTGGTGACGAAGTGCTTCTTTGGACACCTACTCGTGTTCCCAGATTATGTGACAAGTTCCAGTTGTGGTTCCTTGGACCTTACATAGTCATAGAACACACATCCCCAGTTAACTACTGCGTAACTTCCGTCGACCTTCCTGCGGACCGTGGCTGCCGTGGTACTGAGATAGTTCACTGTTCGCGCTTGATGCCTTTCATTTGATGTCTCTCCACAGTCGAAGTCACGGCCAGGCTGGCCGCTTCGGTGCGCTGGGAAAATTTGTGTATAAATTTTTCATGCGCTTTCACTTTCAATACCTATCATCATCACTTTGATCTGAGCAGCAGGGCTCTGGCTAGAGTGCAAATAAAGAGGAGTCTTGCGGCTTGAACGCAGGATACTATATGTTTTCTTGGCCAATCCCCCAGAGTGGGTATGTGTCATAAATTCAAAGCTACAAACAAAAAACGTCGTCTCACAACATATATATACACTTTTTTGGTATGGCTGCACTTTCGTTTTTGATCGATACATATCGAATTTCTCGGCCACAACTCGCTCTTTTGCACAAGCTGCTGAACCGGCCCATTGCGACTGCGAAATTCGATACGGTTCTGGCTCGATTGCAACCGAAAGTGCACCGTGTGACAGGATGTGCACTCTAAGTCGCATATGTCAACACATCCATATGGCGCAATGATCAGGTCATGTAAAATACAGCGAAGGCCAGAGACTCATTCTCGCATCAAATTGTTCATTCAACATATAACTTTGAAGTGTTCCTAGCATTTCGAATTCAGTCTAAGAAAGACCGGAGTCGCGGAAACACAGAAACCTGCGCGGCGATCAACAGCGGCGCGAACACGGGAGGCGCAAATGTTTTAGTCAAGAGGACTCCAATTGTTTGCTACCATGAAGAATTCATCACGCAAGCAAGATCTAAATTTACTCCACAACGCCGACATTTAAGGCATCAATCGTCTCTTTAAAGTCACAAATATCGCGTTCTTCAAGCATACATGTATATGCACCAGCAGATGCCAATTAATTGACGTCCCTTGAATGCCAAACTCTTAGAGCAGAATTCACCTTCACGACAGGCAAGAACCAATTAGCATACAAGCGTTTCGCTCCGGCAGACCAGTCGGCTTGTAGAGCACTGTTTACAATATCCGTCTGTTTACTATAAACAGCGCACTGCCGCGCCCTGCCTGTCTTAAGCCCCGGTTTCCTTAGCGCTTTACGTCGCTTGTCGCTACAGTGAACAGAAATAAAACGTCGTAACTCAGTAGCTGGAAAAACTGTGGGCACCGTCGTCACGCCGTCCACTTATTCGCGCCAACAAAAGGAGTGATCGGAAGCAGTTTCACAATCGCTGCAGTAAAGGCACGCCCCTATGCATTGCCTACAGAAGTACTACATCCCTTGTTGTCATTCGTTCCTGTCTTTTCAGACACCCGGCGCCAGAGTACAATACCCTGCGTTACAAATGTTTAGGAAAGCATCCGCGCAGCGATTACATACTGTGAACAGGATCCCGTGTACTTACCCGATCGAAGTTAGGAGTTTGCCGCAACTTCCGTATTAAGGCCGATGGACGAGAAAGACTTGGCGATTCCCGAAAGGTTAAAAACGTTCATACCCAAAACGAGCATAGTCGTGCGGCCGAGAGTAGACGAAGCAGAAAGCCGTGCATTGTTTAGGCAAGCTAGCCGGGGACGATTCCTTCGGGCACTATTACGCATATGCAAGAGCTCGCGTCATGGACGCGGCCATATTGCCGTAGCGATAGCGATTGAAGGATTGATACGTGAAGAGCCCCCGCCTCTCTGACACACCGTCGCAAATGTGTCATTGTACGATTGCAGCAGCACGCGCAACCTCTGACGAAGAATCCTAAGCTTACCACACAAGGCTATTGTTAGAAAAACGCTCTACTTCACGAGAGTTCACACGCGTACGAATGCACAAACAGCTCAAAGAGCGCTTTTCAATGTTACAACGCAAGCAATTTGACCAACGGGACATAATCACACGCACCACAAGTGTCAACATACGTCATTACATACTTCGGCAACTACGTACCTCTTTCTTATATTAAATAAAAACAAACAAAAAAATTATATACTATCTGGGAAAACTTGCAATCTGAATTCACTGAAACATCGCGCAGTTTCGCTTCATAGCTACAATGTGACAAATGTTGGCAAAGAAAATCCTACGAAACGGGAACACAACGAAGTTATACTCCTTATTTACATTAAATATTGCATGTGGTACGGGTGGCAGCCGAAGTTTATATTTTTCTCATGAGCAGCACATAAGCTAGCCCAGCTGAACAGCAGTTTCTCCAGTGGTGTGAGTGATAACCACATGCATGACCCAACCTTGCCATTTCCTTTCGTGGCAAGTAGCAACAACATGGCTGTAGTTCTTTTCGCAGCAAAAACATTGGCATTGCTACGATATTTTATTGGAATGAAGCTACAACAAAACAGTGTACAGCAGATACACCAATTCGCAGCAATATGGGTAACAGGAAACATACCAATACATTAATTAGCAACAATACAGCAACCACAGTAGAGTTTGAAGATGCGTTGAGCAGCCCACGATGCAACTGCGGCCAGCACAAAGCAACGCTCGACAGATTGCATGCAGCTCGAGCAATATTGAAGATGCTCGAGCGGGACTGTCAAGGCCACACCATAACACTACACTAAGATAGAGTCCTGACTACATGGTACATGACTGCTGAAGCACTCAGTAGCTAGTCATTAAACTTGCGGTTGGGGTTTCTTCCGAAGAGAGCTGTGCGGATCTGTGGCAGCAGCTGCTGAGCGATCATGTCAAGTCGAGACTCGAGCGTGTTGCAGACGCGGATGCGGCCCCTCTTGGCCACTAACTCCACTCCGCCGCAGACGGTGTCTGGCAAATTAGCTTCGAGGGTCAGTTGTACCGCCTGGCCAGTCTTTCCAAGGTACTTCTGTGCGACGCTGTCTAGATCGATCAGCTTCTTATCCTTAGGTCGGCAACACACAGTAACCTGCAAAACACCAATAAAACGCAGTTAAATGCAATTCGTGCGAGAGAAAGACAAACTATTAATAATTCCTGAGGTGTCACGTTCCAAAGCCAAGCTGTGATTATGACCTCAATAAAAAACAAAAGACAAGCAATGGAAGGTATAGGGGACATTACTTATAATTTTTTTAAACTGCATTCTTATAATTGTGATACAAGTATGAATAAATTTGAAGATGCTTGTTTTGTTCATTTACAGCGAAGCTCTTGTTCAAGCGTGCTCGATGCCTTAGAGTGGCAAGTGTGGGCTTATCGGTCAGCTCCCAGCTCCTGGAAAGATCGCATGCTGCATGGTTCCAGCTGGTAAAAAAGTGTTTGTACTATACACCCTAGACATTTGCACCTATTTTCATAGTCTGCCTTAAAAAATTTGTACTTTTTAAGATATTTTAATGCTATGCTACTGCTGCAGCGAGAAGAAACAGCCATCTTTGGCAAGCACAGAAATAGCTTTTCATTCATCTCTTACCAGAAGGAAACCAGAAGGAATGTTGTTTTATTAGGCATTTTAAAAGCTTTAATGCCTATGAAATAAAATTCAAGGCAATAAGAAAATTTCTCCTTTTACAAAGCTGTTGCACTTTAAGACACCCACACACCCAATCAAGAAGCCCACATTACCATCTTGACTGCTATAGGACCTCTTGGGGTCAGAGCAAAGAGGCCTCATTCAAGTGCCTTCAAGTGCACAGGGGAGGCCCTATATGTTCCAAGAATTTTTTGTCCTATAGAGGTACCGTTTTCTCAGTGACTAAAAATAAGTTCACATAATCGATACACCATTTTTTTTGCAAATCTTCCACTTCTTTAACTGAAGCATATTTATTGAAATCTGCCCAGTATTTAAATTTCTGCAAATTTTTTACCACTAGTACCTAAATTTTAAGTTAACCGACATCATTGAAAATTTGTAACATAAAAATTGCAAATTGCATAATTTTAATTCTGCTTCAGTAGCTCTATGCATTTATGCAGTATACAAGAAAAATAATCAACTTGTCGTGGAATACTTAAGAAACAATGGCGCCTAAGTAATAAAAAACATTTTTTTGAGATAATAGAGTTTAAAGTTAGAAAATGGCAGGAAAGTGAGTACATTTTGTCACAAATGCTGTTCAACTATTTTACTTAGTAGCTACAAGCTTGGCAATCACTGTCAAAGTCAATCTTTTACTTCAGAGCCTCTTGTAATGCTTGCCTTGCTTCTTTTGTGAGCTGTCATGCAGCTATATTCGCAATGTAACGTCGAGTGTGGTCAGTATTTTCCAGCAAACTTACTGTAGTTTGGCCAGGCTTCAATCCTAATTATTTCAGAATTTCGGCTCATGCGATGCTACCATCATCAAACACGAGAACAATACCCCATGTCAAAATCTTTAAGATTCTGAACCTAAACAAAGACTCTGCGACACAATTCCCATTAACTTAACACTTGCACAGGACAATTTGCACGTGTTATTTGGCGTTATAGCATCAGCCATGTCCATTTAGAGCATACTCGTTGCATACTCGTTGACCCTCCAGGGTGAGCCAAAGGTCAGCAATGGCGCATTTGCGATACCTTGTGTTTGTTATGTTGTTCATGGGTTGTTATTGGCATACTGCATTAGATTATTTAGCGTGTCATGAATTAGATTCGGTTGGCAAGCTTGTGGTAATGTGAAAGTGGTGAATAAATGTAAACTTGTTTTGTTACCCAAACACGTGACTGTGTGAGAGTGTTTCGACGGCAGTGATAGCTTACAGACACCACAAAAGGAGAGACTTCCCCACTTCCCTCGCCTAAAGATGTAATTGAGCGCTGCCAATACTCAAGCTTGAAGTGCCGACGCAGGGAAGTTCACAACCCATGATTGCCTGTTCTATACAGTGCACCAGTCCTGCAACAGTTGAACACGTTTATAACAAACTCGAAAGTGCTGCAAAAAGTGGTCGTTATATCAGTAGTTGCACTTCACTACGTGGCGCTTCCAAGCTCGATTATCGGCAGCGCTCAAATACATCGGTGGGCTAGAGAAGTGGTGAAGTCTGACCTTTATGAGGTCCGGAAACTATCGCCGCTCTCTGAACACACGTGCACACTGACCAGTAAACTAGGTGGAATAAGCAATCATGGGGTGTGAACTTCTGTAGCGTAGGCACTTCAAGCTAGAGTACTAGCAGCACTCAATGACATCAGGTGGAGAGAGATGTGGAAAAATCTAATTTTTGTAGTGTTTCAAAATTATGGAGTTGTCCTTAAATATGTGCACTCAGAGAACAGGCAGTTTTTTTTTTCTTATTTCCTTCCCCCTTCCCCTAGCACATTTCCATTAAAGTGCTATCAACTCCTCCAATGACAAGTTAGCCCTTTTCGTGTTAAGTGATGCTTGCTGCATGCTCAGGAGTGAATTTAACCACCTTTGCAATTAACTGATTCACACAAGTAAGGCACCGCCATGGTGCTCTTGTACCGCTGTCAATCTGCACAGCTTGCGCCCTGTGCGAAGACGAGCGGATAGCTGCAGATTACTACGATAATGTCAGTGATGAGTCATAATGGCACGTTCATCACAAGCCGCCAACTCGCCTTTACTCTTTCCTGCTTATCCTTGTAATCATTGCCGCAATCGTGCAGAAGTCATCATTACTCATCGATTGGTTTCAGCTGTTACCGAAAAGACCGAAGACTTTGTGGCACATTGTGGTGTCTGCAAATTGAAGGTTGCAGTGAACTTTGCTGCAACCTAAAGTCATCACTTCTTACTTATATGGCTTCGTGCATTTCAAGGCATTATTTGGTTCATCGTAAGCAGTTACAGACGCGAAGATGGCACCAAAAACAAGGTTGCCGTGTGACAGCTGATTGTAAGTCTTCATGCTGCCTCCTATTTTTTTTTTTCTTTCATCAATGACATTCTGCCACTGAACAAATGCCTGGAAAGTGAGCAACTTCACTCGCTTCGTCTGAAATCTGTGGGCAGTGTGCGGAGATTGGGGCAAGCCCGTCGCCATTGCACAAATTTTCTCACCTATTTCTGCCATCCACATGTCCAAACATGACTCTCCTTTCCTCCGCGGTCCATCTGTGCTGAGAGAGCGAGAGCGATATTGAGCTTTCTAAACCAGACCTGGATCTCGACTGTGGCGTTGCGCTTGAGTCCCCAAGAGTTTTCCCGCACACGGCGGGAGTCGGAATCTCTCTGGACAGCCCAAAGTAGGCACGTCTTTTTTTTCCAGTCCGTCGGCTCTTTGAGCTTCGGGCTCATTCCAACGGAGTTCCCCAACAATGTGTTTTGCCCGCGGCAAACGCTCACCTTTCGTTGCCCCTTCCAAACGCTAGGCCGAGGAATGGTGCGGTGTGTTTGCACGTGGTCATACTACAGCGAGTCATACCTATCAAAGTCAATGCGAGGGGAGTTTGCCCTTGCTCGAGCAATTGGGCCCAGTGATCACTGATCATGAGAGCATGCAACATAGTAGCGAGAGACTGTTTCTGTCAGCGACATGTAGCCGTGGGCCTTTTTGCCAGCGGAGACATGCTTGCAACACCCTTTGTGTTGTATTTTCGCCCTTGTGTGGATAAGCCTCTTTTTCTTTCCCACCACCTTTGCAGCAAGTGTTGTGCTGCATTTGTGGTGTTACGGCAGGCAATAAAGTGTTGCGAATTGTTTGAGAGCAGTGTTGTGTGCTTGCCATGCTGCACTCGGCGTCTTGGGTGTCCGAATACGCATGTGCAGCGCATTAGTTTATGGGAGGCAACACTGAACGCGGCCTTGTGGCTCGCTAAAGCCGAACCAACACTAGTGGCTTTATTACTGTGGGATACCTGTACGCTACGAGTTCTCACTACGGTCTACAATATCTTCATTGTGAGTGCAGCGGAGCGAGCATAAGTGCAAGCCTCTCTCATGCTTTAGAATGCCTTTTCTAACTTCTTTTCACTTAGTATGCTCTATATTTCTATTGTGATCATGTCCGAAGTGTTCATTATAAAAGTAAAAGGCTCTGAAAACCATTTCCTATACGTGGGTGTAGTTTCAATGAGTAACATACGAAAATTGTAAGTAGTGGTGGTGACGGTCGTAGTAGTAGTAGTAGTAGTAGTAGTAGTAGTAGTAGTAGTAGTAGTAGTAGTAGTAATAGTAGTAGTAGTCAATGACGGGTCAAAAAGCCCTACAGAGGTTCTCTGCACTTTAGGTTATCAATGCAGGAACAGTCTCGCTGCACCTACCTCTGTCTCGAGCAGCTGCAGCAGTGACTGCAGAACGAGGGTCTCAAGCAGGTCCCGATATCGTGACTCGTCTCGGGTGATGTCGCCGAGGTGGTGGCGAGCCTCCTCGAGCACTTTACGGATGTGCTCCTCGCCCTCCCTCAGCACCCGCAGCCGTGCTTGGTTCAGCATGTTGGAACTCTGACTGCGTGTCCATCAAGTTACCTTCAGTACTGGCATACACAAAATGAAGACCCCTTCACAGCAGCGACAGCACCAATCACGCGACTGACTGTGGCAGTCGCAAAGTGACTGCTCTGGCTCAGTTACTGTACTTGGGGGACAACTTTTTGTGGTAATGGAGCTGCAGGGGGCGGAGCTAACTGCTCAGTGTTACTGCGCCAAAGCAGTTTCCAATACAGTAGTTTTGTCATCAGTTTCAACCTGAAAGGTCGCATGTGCTACATTTCATTTTTCTCCCACATGCTCCACGGTTCAGTGCGATGAACCACAATCACTGCGCATTCAGGCATATTGGCGACTCTTTCTCTATGCTTAATTTGCTTCTAACCATCGTACCACTCAGACCCTCTGCCTTGAGCCGTGCAACAGTACCATTGCTTGCTCCGGTAAGCTATCAAACCAAACAAAATGCAGAAACGACGGAAAGTCCTGGTTGCGTCTGTCTCACTTGGGTGTGCACATTGCAGGCCACTTCCTTCATTGGTTTCGACAGCGTTTGGTTCTCAAGCTTTTTGTTGAAAATCCTATGCGCCGATTGACCGGATGAAATAAAGGAGAAAAAAGCCGCAGCCAAATAGGAGGCTTTTTTTTTTTCTAGAAGGACTTAGGTGACACCAGTAGATACAATAATAATAAAGCCCCCCAAAATTTTTTAATGATGCCTTTTCACACAATCTGGTTTATTATTTTGTGACATTATCCATCTGAGACTAAAAAGTAACTGTACATGGTCGAAACTCTGAGGTGACACACAGCAAATTACCTTCTTGTGGGACTACCTCCAGCTGCACGGCGAAACTACTGTAACTGCGTGCTTGAGCTCTCTAGGCTTGACTGCACTGCCTCACAAAGTTGTTCTAAAGTATAGCTGTCAGATTTTTCAGTCACAGAACTGCAGTTGCAAACCTTTCAACCAATCAGATGTGCAGAAAAAAGATGTTGGCTTATTTTAAGAGGCGATGGCAATGCGAATGGATGTGAATTCTGCGTGGCAACTGATACAGGTCGCATGCAGATGTGAATTCCAGTCACCTTGAGTTGCTTTTTGTTTGCCAGCCGTGAATAGTCACACAACTGATGCTAGTCGTGGGTGCGAATGAGCTTTAATGATGAGAATGCACAGTGCCAGAAACAGGACGATGAAAAAATGACAGACAGGCTACTGACATAACTACATCTAATTTAGTACGGTGAGGAAATGCAATATATATATACAGAAGCTCTATGGAGAAGGTCAACAAAAAGTATCTATGTAAGACAGAACAGAAATCACATTTACCCTGTCAGGTCTGTATACAAAGAGAATTTTGGGGACTTGTTTATTTTTTATTTGGCACAGCCTTAGCCAAACCGACGTTCTTGCTATCGTTAATTTGCTATCACCTAACATTGTTAGAACAGATTAAAGAAATGAACACCACAAGCACGGGCCAATTATGAGAATAAGGCTCAAACACAACACCCACATCTTTCGCTGCAGCTCCACTTGCTTCTCCTTGCGCGAGTAGTAGTCCATGATCTTGAGCCTCTGCTCAGCAACCAGGCGACCTTTCTCAATGTTGAATTCTTCTTCGGCCTGTGGTTCAGAACAAAATAAAATGAATTAAAGAGTTGACTAAAGGCCAGGTTAAAGCGGAAGGTTTTATGAAACTGACCTTGCTTACACAATAAAGGAACAACAATGAAAAAACATTCAACTTCACGAGCCCAGGTCAAACTGGCCGAAAACATCCAGAGAAAATGTATATCTTAGCCAAAACAAATTTGGTGGAAGGATCTACCCAGCCCTGCACCCCTAGCTTACAAGGGAAGGCTTAACAGCACGCTATGTTGGGTCAGTTGGGGCATTGTTACTTGAAAAACGTGGCACTAGGTTAAAAACGAGAACAAAGATGTGGCACCAGGGTAAAAAATGAGATCAACATCTCATCATTCTTGTTTTTGACCTTGTGCCACGCCTTTTAAAGGAGCAATGACATAATTTACTCATGTTAATATTTTTGTATCAACTAGTAGCTGTCGACCCCCTAGTAGCGATTCACAACCTATAACGCAACTGAGAGACGAATAACTATCACTTTTGATGATTTATATCACTGGTATCTATCACAATTCAAAATGGCCGACAATCCTGGCATTTTTAGCGCTAGGTGCGCTACCAGTGGCACTACCTCGCGGTCACCTGCAGACGTTGCCTCAGCTGACCACTTCTCCACAGAGAAAAGAGAAGACGTCAGGCCATGCTGCTCCGCAAACATTTCGTCTGCTAGGCGCACACATTCAGTCATGCCTTGTCGCCTGCATGGCCGTCGTCACCATACAATATGTTGACTGGGGTCGAATACAACAGTCTGGAGCTTGGAACCATAGCGATTTGCGACATTGCGAATCATTTTTGCTTCGATCGACTCTTAGCAGAACAGCAATTCCAGCGTTGACGCTGTTCCAAGCAGCAATTAGGCGGTGCCCGAGGATGCATGCTTCGGCGGCGCTTGCTCATGCGTCTAAATTAGCTATATTGGGGTGTGTGGCGTGCGCAGCAGTCTGGGATACGCAAAGGGGTCAATGGAATAACGGTGTAGGGCAAGCACACCAGTGGAGAAATAGAATACATTCCCTACAGCCAGGTTCTTCTTTGCACCTCCAGATGGCCCCACCATTCTGGCCTCTCACAATAGTGGCAGTAGTAACCTGGTATTACACTGACGCAAAAGAAATCTACGGATCAACTAAAATTTACTATTAACGATACCTGCGTGTTACTTGTTAGCAATGATATGCCTATACAATACTCCACTTCAATAGCTTGTGGTCGTGTTGGCGTGCAACATATGCGTAATGAAAAGACACCCTCATTTCACTTCGAACCATACGACTAAACTCGGAAATAATGGTTCCCCAAAATGATGACTGACGAGCACACGTTGAATGATGCTCTTTTCTTTCACCGTTCTTTTATAGGTGGTTTCAAAGCGGTGTTACGAACATCAGACATGACGAGTGAGTGCGTTTTCAGGCTTCGGTGCCAGGATAAGAAAACTCTGATCGTCGACAGCATGCAAGGAATGTATAACACTGAACACATAGCACCAGTGTCAACGGCGCAGGGGCCCTCCATTTTTCATTAGGCTCTTGTGCGATATTTGCCATCAAAATAAAATAGCTCCCACTTAATGGACGCGATACAAATTTGGCCAAGAGGACCTACGCACACCTAGCAATCAAATTTAGGGCACATCTCGATTTCTGAATTTAATGTCAGTGCTCCTTTAAGTAATGGGACCGTACTCATCCGAAAACTTCAGGACAGCCAATTCCCTTACGGCACCCTTTCTTAAACCATTGGAGAGTCCTTGTTCTACAAGGACTGAATTGTGGTTCGCAGTATGTTATGAAATGTCATAAACAATATGTATTACCAGCTATATGTGCACATTAAAGAACAACAAGCAATTAAAACTCATGGAGAGCCCCTAATTTCAACATAATGCATTTGGCAATTGAAAGCTCGCACATTACCAAGTTTTCATTTTGAGGCTTACATGCCACAAGCAGGGCGTACATGGCGACAGGGGCACATTACAGTGAGTGGATAACTCAGCATAAATTTTAAAATTTTGTCTTCTTCATGCACACCAAAACATATGCACATTTTGCACGCATTGAAGTATGGAGCGCTGGTGTTTAGCAGCTCTACACCATAGATGCCAAGCAACCACGGCGAGTTCTCATGAAATAGTCCGTAATTTTCCTTATGTGCACGGTCCCATTGTAAGGCTTCGGTTCACCAACCAGCTCAACAAGTACTCCAATGTAGCCGGCTAGAAAGGCTGGCGCGCCGTTTATTTGGAGAGCAACACGACTCGAACGCGCGTGCGTGCTCTAATTTGCAAATTAAAGGTTGCGAGGACCACTTCGAGACCCCGGAAACTTTAAGCTCGCTGTAGCACGTCTCCATACCTCAGAGTTACGGTATATCATTGGTGACGAAAAAAACATTACGATGCCTTGCATGTCGCCGTAATGCGAAAAGATCGATTCACAGGAACTCTGGAAAGTAATTAAGGCTACCGAAAAATTGCATTCTATACGGAAGCAACAATTTCCTTTATTTGTAACACAGCGATTACTAGTTACCATGCCAATTTTTTTCTTACTCACAGTAAGATTATCCGATTAGCAATAATTATTAGCATACATAATGTGATATCACTTGTCATTATTGTGCCTCCTAATATCGAAGTACTGGCCTCCCAGCACAAAGTGAGCTTGCAGGGACATCTTGGAGAAAAATGCTGCAAGCTCTGGCGACCACAGAATCGAAGGCAAACGACGGTAAATGACGTGATAATACATTGAAATAGCGTTTGTGAGTTTAGTTTCAATATTCGAAGGTAGCACAAGCACGGGCAGTGGCACTCGTTCGGTGTAATTAAGGAGGCCGGATATCACGCGCCTACGCCAGCGCGAGCCAGCTCCCATGCGCGGTATTAAACATAACAAATATTTACCTTGGCGTCCACTTCTTCAACCTTTTCGTTTGCCTCTTGCTCGATAAACGCCATCATGTGCTTGATCTGAAAGAAAACGAAAGCACGAACCCGGTCAGTCCGGCGCGCCTACGAGGGGTGTATTAAATCGTCGACACTTTCTTACCTGTTTCTTAACGTCAGAGTCGCTGAGAGCCATGGTCGGGGAATTAGTGGACGGGCGCTGTTACTTAAAATCACACGTTAGATGCTTCGAGGGCGAAGTTATGACCACTGCAATATTTTTGGCAGTTTTGTGTGAAACTAGACTCGGCAGCTGCAGGCGGTCGATGCAGACGCTGTCATGTGACGAACACCACTGCTGAATGAAATAATGATGATGATACAGTAGTTGCCCTTTGTTATCGCGCTTCAACGGTTTCAAACTGCACAGTTATATGTCAAGTTGTCCATGATTATAGTGACGGCCTTTGAGATGCTAAACATACAACATTATCTTGAAGGCTATGTTATAGCAAGTTTAGTACAATTGTTTCCCGCTTGACTTTGTTTGGCGCTAGTGACTGCACCGTTTGCTTGGAGTATTAATAAAGAGTATCTACAAATCGACGTTTATTGACTTTATTTTTGTTGAAGGTTCAATGTTGCAATGTTGTATTTAATATTAGCCATTTGCAAAATGTGTTTTTTTAGCATTTTGCATCAATTATGTGATATTGCTGTACAGCTATTATATGTCTATGTTAAGCAAGCAAAATTAGTATCAAGTTCCACCTTCTCTTTGCTTTGGTGCTAGCTATATGGTGCTGGCGACTACATTGTTTGTCATAATAAAGTTTAATATTTTTGTAAATAACGCTATTTGTTATCGAAGATTTGTAAAGTAACGAGATAACAACGAGATTTGTAAAGTAACGAGATATTTTACAAATAGAAACAATTCTCATAAAAACTAAACACTAGAGTTGCTGTTTTTTTTTATTTATTAGCTGTCAAGCAAATGTTTGGCCTTGAAGATTTGCATCAACCTTCTGCTTCAGAGGGACAGCATACTGCTGCACTCCAGAAGGCATATTATAAAACCTTCTTGATAATTTGATAAACTTATATATAAATAAATAAATAAATAAACATGTAAATAAAAAATTATCGAACAAAAATATAAATGAGTAAATAAATAGATAGATGATTGAATAAACGTACAAATAGACAAATAACTAAACAAACAAATCTATGGATGGATGATTAGTAAAATAGGTAGATAGATGATTGAATAAGTAAAAAGTACATAAATAGATGAATAGGTGAACAAATCTATAAACAACTAAAAAAAACAAATTTATGGATAGATGAACAGTTAAGTAATTTAAGTAAGTAGATAGATGACAAAATAAGTAAATAAGTATATAGATAGATGAACAGGTAAACGTATAAATAGATTACTAAACAAACCAATAAATAAGTAATTAAATAAATAAATTAAGAAGTAAAAGTATGAATAGATATATGATTATACAAACAAACAGATGGCTGAATAATTAGAAACAATACTCTAAAACCTCCTTGCGTAAAATCTAGAAAAAGTTATGGATCTTATCTAGAATATGGATCACGTTAAAAGTTCGCAAGAAGGTTTGTTAGTTTCATAGAGTTTCTCGCAGAAACTCTGTGGTTAGTTTAGTGCAGACCTGCAGGCTATAAAACTTCAAACAATAATACGATTGTATAAAACTCTATTCGCAGTTTAGTATAGTGTCATGTTTTTCCGCTTTGTGTTATTGTAACGCTGACTACCAAACTATTATTGTTTAAACAAATTGTGTTTTATAAAAAATGAGTTTAAAATACAAACTTATGCATAATTCTACAAAACTGAATAGCGTTAAATTTAAACTTGTGTGAACGTAGACCAATGTAAATATACTAGCCTTGAAGAAAAAAATTTGAAAGCGTTCTCTAACAATTTTAAATATTGTTTTTGTTTTGCATTAAAAATAATTGCAAAGAAAATTTGTTTTAAAGTACATGCTTTTAAAGTAATATAAAAACAAACTAGTAAGTAACACTATAAATTTTAAAAAGTATAGTGTAGTTAGTAACTTTTGCAATGTTATGAAGTAGTTTTTGTGGAAACTGTACGACAGCGCTGCGGTTTCGTTTGCGCTTGTCGTCTGCTTTGTGCTTTTCGCGCACTGCGACTGTTCTGGCGTTAAAACTGTTATGAGTGCTCTAATGACAAACAACCTAAGTTGATCGAAACTTCGTGACCTACATCGGTGTCCTCAGTCAGTCCACATGCGTACCAACGTCAACGAAAGCTTCAAACAACTGTTTTTTTCACACTCGCGTGGACTGTTACTATGACTACCACAGGGCGCCGCAACTGCTACAGCATCGGTATCATAACAAATCGCAGCGCAGTGGTTTTGATGTAAGTACAAGCGTGTCTGTAAAGAGAAATTCGAAGATTGTTCAACTCTGAACTTTCTGTGATAGTTGTATCGCTAAGACGGTTGTATCGCTAAAACATGGCGCACCCTGTACGAGCTCGCGAACTATTATAGTGTGTAATGCCGCGCACTGTGCCAAATTCGACAGCTCGCGTTCAGCTGTGTACAAATTGCGACGATGATAACGTGCGCATAAAGCTCGATTCGCCGAGTTTCTATACTAGTGCAGTGATTTCACCAAACCAATTGCCAACAAGAGTTAATATCAATTTCGCTCTGCAAACTTTTACCGTCTCGCGTGTCGAAAAATCTGGCGTAGTTTGTATCTACGCGTGGTTGCAAAGTAGTCACAAGCAAGCTTCATGACATTTGTCACGTGCCAAAGTCTAGCGACTAATAACGTCATCACGTACATTACGTCGTCGCTTGGCTAAATGCAGGTCGAGACTGGAGGATGTTCAACACTTACTGAAATACATGCTGCGAGGTTGGAATGGCACAATGCGGTCTACTAGGAAGTTATAGTATTTCTTGATCAAGTGTCCTGTACGTGCTTTTGCCTGTGCACTCCTAAGCATTGCATTTTTTTTTTTTGAACCTGTCGATACTCTCGTCGGATGTTCCTGAATTTTTTTTTTTCGCAGTCATCAAACATAGTGTGATTAAACAATATATGTGTGGTGCCTAAAAACTTGCAGCTATCAATTTAATTTAATTGTACAATTTTTCACAAATAACGGCTGCATGTGCTGGAGGCAGACGAACGAAACAATGAAATAAATAAAAAAATCTGCATTTATTTTAAAAAACTGCTTACATAAGTGCACACAAAATTATCCCCATTTCCCGAAACATATGTATTTGTTACATATGTCAATATATTCTGGATCGGATAGTGGATTGCGCAGCTATGACAAGACACGTAAATGAAAAACTCTCCTCACGCAGAGCTCCAGTATGCATCTTTTTTCAATGTGACCCGTCATGCAGTATTGCACAACTTAGTATAGGGTGTCAACATATGCACTAGCAAATGGCACATTGCTATTCAATTCAGCTTAACCATAACCGATAAGTGGATACCCGTGTTTTATATAGGGCTCGAATGTCACACTATCTCTTCTGAAGTGTCGCCCTAGACTGTCCACAACTGCCCTAGATACACATGCAGTATGCTCATTGGCTGAAGTATCACCCGCATCAGACAGTTCCCGCATAACAACCAATGAAAGAAACTCACTCAGTGCTGTGCAACACTGTGCATAACAATTACCAAAGGCTAAACATGTGTTGCAGGCACAACGGTGATTTCGGGGTGGAACAAAGCAGGCACGCATGTGGAAACATCAAAATCGGCGGCCTGGCCAAGCCACTGCACATGGATGGACTGCGGCCAACTTCCTCTGTTATCAGAGGCGGTAGTTTCGAGCAGCATTTGGCAGCCCGACATATGATGCTACACTGGCTGGCAACCCAGAAAGCCAGTGGTATGTACATGCTCACTAAAGCTCAACAAGAACATCGACTGTGCTTGGGTTGCTCCTCAGACAGAACCATTAATTACCACGATGCTGACCACAGCATTTTTAACCAGAACATGAAGTTTCACAAAGTTCTTTCTGTAATACATGACTCATCCTTCTCACAGCTGCTGTGGACACGGGTCGGCAATGCCCTCGACCTAATAAGCATGTGAAGCAGGCCGCACATAAAGCACAGGCAAGTGCTTGTAACGTCATGTATCCTTCAGTTTTGTATGGCATGCATGAGGCGTGCACAATCTATTCTTGGCAGTATTTTTATGACTGTGTAACCTCTTCTCATTTATCATGGCGTGGATGCGTTGATATAAAAGTTGACTGACACAATGTGTAGATAATCTTCATTCACATGTACGCGGCCAGCTTCTGTGATACTACCACTCTCAACAATCCCTAGCACTGATGTCGCAATATACAAAGTAGGTATTAGAAAAACAGACATCAGAGGAGCATGGGACAGTTGCAATTGATGGCCTCCCCTTGGCACACAGCTCCATCATTATTTCAATATATGTTAGCCACAGCAATATGCCCACTTTCTTTAACAGGTTATTAAGAGAAGGACTATTGCTATCGCAGTGCATTGCTATAGCAGCGCTTGTGCAACAAATACAAGCATAACATCACTATGTTTATAGTAAGTTCATCATCTTGCAGCAAGTTTTCTTCAGCATGAAACAGATAGGATGGAAGACCAAGGAACAAAGAGGCAGTGCTCACATTTATTCTTTTAACTGAATGATTGTCTCTTCGTATTTTGATCTTTCGTCTTGTCTGTTTCACACATACTAGCTTCAAAAACATATTCAGACCAGCTACATTGTGTTTGCATGACATGCCCATGAAAGCACTATATAATGCACAGGCCCACGAGTGGAGGGGTGGAAAACAGTCCAGCGCCACCGCTGCAGTGGTAGTGGCCAAACTGTCAAACCTGCTCAGCCGCTGCCGTCCTGTCGGCATGGCACCTGCTACAGGAGGCCGATCAAGTGCCGCACAACTGGCACAGTCACGTCTGGCGCAAATGCCGTGGTGCTATCAAGCTCCTCTGCGACATGCAGAACGAACTAGCGCAGAGACAACACAGAACGATCAGCCGAACCTCAAAGAAGAAGACCACAGTAGCACATTGGACAGCAGCACTCCATACCTGAACTTCTTGGCACGACTAACTGAACACCTTGTCCACCAGCCTGACCTCTCGGATGAGTAAGTTTGAGCATGCGTAACTGCATCAGAAACATGATGAACTCAGCACGATGGCCCCAGTGAAGATCACATGTCAGTGTGTGCTCAGCTCAGTCATCATTGTCAAGCAGCACATTCGGAAAAAATGTGTTTGTGCAAACGTGAACGATGAGGACATACACAGATGCCTTACTGCAACTGCTGGTTTATTTCTCAAAGGCAGACTTCTTATCGTGCATGTTTTCATGCATTTGCTCACCAAAAGAAAAAAAAAGCTCTTAATGAGAAGGGCATCCGACTTGAATCCTGGTGTCAAATCACAAACAGATGGAAAATTCATGAACGTGGAGTGTCATTAGTGCCGACATTTCGACAAGTTCCGCTTGTCAAAATGCCAATGCCCCTTGATCACAAGTCTTTCAGCAAGTCCATCAGTACCGTGAGACTGAACAATCAATCATTCATAAAATTTTTCAACTTGAAACAAAAAAGGGTGGAGCAACCATTAAATGCTGCTTAGTCAAACAGCCTAACAAGGCAACTCTCTAATAGTCACATAACTACTGAAGGTAGATCAAGAAATAAGCATGCTTGCACTTAGCCAAGTCACTAATGACTTGAACGAGTATAACAGGCCCATAAGCACCATACGTACGCAGGGTACAACTAGACAAATCCAACAAGATGCTCCTTCTGTGAGTCTATGTAAAATCTGTGCTGTTTTTGTCTTATAATGGCTCAGCCATGCAATGTTATTTGTCTAACTCATGGAAATTTCATTCAGCATATCTGTGTCTATACACTAAATGTGTAAGCATGCACGTGCATCCACACTTAGTGTTGGTGAAATTAGGAATATTTTAGTTCTGTACGAGTGCAGGACCTTCACATGTGTGTCTGCCCAGTGAAATCTAGCCTTGTTAAGTACAGTTACATCCGACTCAAAAAACACCAATATCCCTTATTTGTTTTTAACACATATTTGCTGCATGAAATATCTCAGTGAGGAACATCTTAGATCTACTTCCTTATTGTTAACAACTTATATCCTTGTTCATTACGTGAAGATTTAGATATATGCTGTTTCATGCAGAGCGTGCATTCTTTTTTGCATGTTTGGGTGAGCAGCTGTGCTAAGAGACACGTCCGCCCTGATGGTTATGGCGCTTTACTGCTGACCCACACATCATGGCATCAAAACCTGGCCACGGTGGCCGCATTTTTGATAGACACATAAATGCCTAAAACCTGTATGTCAAAGTCAGACACAGTCAGTGCAATGGGAAGTGACTCAGTTCATTGAAACCAAGTTGTGCTTATGCAAAACCAGTGCAAAATAGCCAATTACGTTCAAGCAGATGATGTTCATGCTCCGTCAACTGGACATAAAGGCTGTCACCTTTACTTATTTCAAGTACTTTACAAATTAATTCTATTAGCAGCAGCATTTCAGCGCTGTCAAGGGGCCTTTCATTTTAGGCAGTACGTACTGGCCATCTATGCAGAGCCCTCCATGGTGCCTGTGAGAAGTACATTGCCACAGAAGCGAATGGACTTGACCAGGTGAGCTACATGCTATGAAAAATAACCTGTTGAAGCATGTTACAATGTTATGCCACCACAACAAGCAGCAAGTGCAGCTACCATAGCTATGTACACCAACTGCAGTAAATTTCATACATCTCGTGCATGTGCTAAAGTGTCATAATTCATGAGATGCACTCTCGTGTGTTGCCCCCCCCCAAGTCCAGTCATCCTCTATAATAAGTGGTGCGGCACCTGTTTGCGCAGGATGTCCTGTGGAACCTGGTGCGGGAACTGTTTTCAGAACTGTACCACTCGAAGTACCCAGCATGCCGAGACATCAAGAGCAAAGCCACATGGGTCAGCGAGAAGTTTGACACCAGTGCTTGACTGTGCAAGACATTACAATTATTACCTGTGGTTAGCTGGAAAGTTCCGGCACGCTAGTTCATAAGCCAGGAACAGTTGTTCAGTCAGAAGTGAGTCCTCTTCAAGAATGTTTTCTGAAAGTTCTCCATCAGAAGCACTGTGTGTCTCAAAGCCTGAAGGCGGTACTGTGTAGACTTCTGTTACAAAGAGCAATATGTTTATTCCTTGAGACTAGTGTCAGAGTTGATCATACTGCGCTGTGAAGCTACGATTGTTGTGCTTCCAGGCTTTTCAACTTGCGGTAGAGGCACTGCTTCCATTCCTCTTCGGGCACGTCTTTGGCCCAAGGAGGCAGGTGAGAGCTGGGCAGTTCAAACCCTGCCATGGCGGCTTGGATGGCTTGAATTTGTGCTGCATAGGAACCCGAATCAAAATTTATTTTCAGCGTATTCATTCATTCATTAAAGTATCCCATGGGTTCCACATGAGAACACTGTGTGAGGGAGCGGTAAATTTTTGTTTTACAGAAAGTCAGCAAAGCAAAAGAAAAGTGAAAAAGAAAGTATTATTACATCTTAAAGTCCTGGCTGTATGAACTTGAAATGGCAAATGAAACACCACACAATGCCATTGGTAACACATAAACATAAAATAAAACTGATGAATTTTTGATTGAATGAAAGCTAAAAATTAAATGGGGATTAAATATTACACAACGGTTAGAACGACGTCCACAGATTAAGGATCAAAATGAGCCACACAACATAGATAGGTACACAATTATAGTGCAAAGCAGTGGTGCTGCCACACGACTTTGGCGTAGAGGGTAAGCCGGCTTACGAAAAAAAAAGGAGCGATTTTCTTTGTCTTTGGCGGCTGGAGTGAACGAACGCTTCCCACGGTGGGTCTATTGAGACAGTGCTGGGGGTCACTCCTTAGGATTCATTATGGTCAGTCAACTGTCGAAGACGTTGCATTCACGGTACCTTGTTGTTATTGTTTGCTTGTGTGTGTTATTGAAATTATTAGATTTGGCTGGCGATACCGTCATTTGCAAAAGTAGTTGAATAAATGTACACGACGTTGGGTTTGCCCAACCGCATCTGCTGCCTTCGTGAGCTCAAGAGTGGCACTGTTCCAGATCCCACAGGGTGCAAGTAATTTCACTGAGCCAAAATTGCCTAAATACAGGACATGTGCCAGTGACTCAATGCAGCCAATATTTCATCCCGGAATTTCGAAAACGATACCTTGACCTTCATAGTATATAGTATATAGGACGACTTCCCTCGTCGTCTTCTAATTGTCGGCGTGGACCATCTCACGCGTTACGCGGAGACCGCAACACTAGCCGCTGCAGCTGCAAGGGAAGAGTCGTTTTTCATCTCGCCCAATTTTGTTTTTCGCCACGGTGCTCCCCGCGAATTTTTGAGAGACAGGGGGCGTGTTTTCTTGTCTGACGACATTAAAGCCTTGCTTGCTCAGTGTAACATGGCTCATCGCATGATGACAACATGTCACCTGCAGAGGAATGGCCTCACAGAATGATTTAATCGCATGCTATCAGTGATATGTTGACAATGTTACACCGCTTCAGACCAGACCAATTGGGACACTGTCCGTCCATTCATCATGCATGCGTACAACACTGCTACACACGCGACCACAGGGTTTTTTCCTGTCTTTTTTGTACGAACATGAACCATCATGCATGCTGGACACTATCTTCTCTTACACGCCTGACTCATCTGAGTACACTACAATTTCTGATGTTGCTAGGTACACAGAAAATTGCAGACAATTGGCCCGTTCACTGACAATTGAAGACCAAGGCCACCAGAAGCTACGGCATGACACCGACCGACCTCTCTCTACTTTCACGACTGGTGCCCTCGTTTGGCTCTGGATTTTGACAAGTACTCCTTGCCTTTTGTCAAAATTACTGGCTCGATACATGGGCTCTACCTCATTCTCGCCCGTACGTCACCAGTCAATTTGGAGATGAGCCTTTGATACCGTCTGATGACTTACGCCGTTGTGGTAAAGAAATTGTACATATTAGTCGCCTGAAGCCGTATTATGACCGCGCTATAGTGACTATGCCTTAAGTCGCCAGGTTGGCTACGCTCTTCACCGGGGGCCAATGTAGGGAACAATGCGAGAGAAAGGCAAGCCAGAGCGTTTGAGCAGCGAGAAAGGCAAGCCAGAGCGTTGGTGATTTACACGCGCGACCGAAGCTTGCGCTTGCTTGGATTTTGGCCTGATGACGTTCCTCGATTCTGACGTTCTTCGGCCTTCAAGTTCGCCTGTGCGTAAATAAACCACGTGAAAATATTGCCACATGGTTTGCTTGGGTGAGATCGAAGAGTGAAAGAAGACAAAGACGATCTCTCGGAGCCGCTGCTTGAGTAGTCGACTAAACGAGCCCATTTTTATCAAGTTTGTCGAGAGTAACGTGACAAGACTGGTGGAGTTGCTGGGTACAACGTCTCGCAATCCACCCGATGCCCAAGACCCCGTCCAGCAGCCGGAACACAAGCCCTGCACCCGTGGACACTCCTGTTCATAAAGTAAGCCGCCGCCAACGAGGCCTACCGCCTGAGACACCAACCACTGACGCAGCGACTATGACTTCGACACAAGATCCCATGCAAGCTCCGACACCTTCCACGCCGATCTACTGCACCGTCCAGAACCCGCTCATGCCTAGCCCCTTTCACGGAGAGCAGTATGAAGATGTTGACGACTGGCTGAGTGAGTTCGAACGTGTCGCAGCGATCAATTACTGGGATGATGCCGCGAAGCTCCGGAACGTGTACACTTGCCTAAAAGACGGTGCCAAGACGTGGTTTTTGAACAGGGATGATGTTCTGACATCTTGGCGCGAGTTCCAGCGTCGCCTCCTGGAGACCTACAGGAGTCCCGACCGCCGCGAACGGGCGGAGCATGCACTACAATCACGCATCCAGATGCCCAACGAGACCGTCTCGATGTACGTCGAGGACATGACACGGCTTTTCAAGCGAGTGGATCCTGCTATGGCAGAAGAAAAAAGTTGCGCCACCTCATGCGTGGTGTGAAGTGTTAGGTTTGGCCTGGAGATTGGTCTCTCAATCCCTTCGGCGCCCAGTCTGACAGACGCTGTCGAAGATTTGAACAATTACCCAGACAATGCGGCAAGTAAAGGCGAGTTCCCGTCTTTCAAATGCAGACCCTTTTGTTGTCCCTTCAAGCAGCAGCGCGCCTAATGACCTCGGTGATTCATCTGGCGACGGGGAAGCTGTTGTGACCGGAGCCAGAGCTCCGGCTACTTGACTCCGGCCTCAGTCAAGTAGCCGACCCTTTACAACTGGTGGCAGCGGTGGGATGGACTTCGCGACATGGTGCTGTGCTGTGGTGAGTGCTTGGTCTTTGCTATAACTTTCCAGGCTTCATTTCTTGAGTGTGCGTTGATTAGAAGCTGGATTGTGTGTGAGTTGGGGAGATCACCTATTTGTGTGTTAGAGGGATCCCCTACATTTGTGTGCGATGCAGGACCAAAGTATAAGGGCAATCATGGAGGTGAAGACACTGCCAAAAAATGGTCTTTTGTACATTTGTGAAGACCTTGGTATTAAGATTAAGGAGGGAATGGGCAGGCAAGAAATTTTAGAGCTAATTTTGGAAAGCGCCAGTGAGGTGGATATTGGATACGCGTTAAAAGCTTTAAAAAGATTGGAGGAACGAAAACAGAAAAAAGAAAGGGAAGAAAAGGAAAGGAGGGATAGTAACGAAAGAGAGGAACGCGAAAGAGAGGCATGGGAAAGGGATACAAAAGAGCGTGATCGAGCACGCGCCTTGCTGCTCGAACAATTGGAACAGAAAATTGAAGCAATGAGGCGAAAGATTCAGCCATTCGAAACTGTAGCGCACGAGAAGTGCGATAATCAAATGAGTGAGGTGCAGTTTAGAGCCAAAGAGAAAGCTAGCACGTGTGAAAATAGCAGCAGTTTCAAAGCCGAATCGAGTTTGAGAGCTGTGAAAGGTGCTGCTCTGAGTAGAGAGGCTGACGAAGGCCAGAGCGTGTGCGACGAGGGGCTGTGCCAGTTAGATGCTAGCGAAACAGCTAGTATATCTGTAGTCATGCTGGTACAGGCCTCAACTGAGGTTGTCGCGACGGTGGAACTTGCAAACAATGTGGTAGTAGGCAAGGAAACCGGAGAAAGCTCAGGAGCAGCAGCCAAAGCAGAGGGTGAGAATCACAGTACAGTTGCCGACAGCTCCCACCTATTCGAGGAAGATTGTGTGAAGGAAAACTGTGGCACTGTTCTTGAGTGTGTTGAGCTTTCCACCAGTCCAGAGTGCGAGAGAGATGATTTTTTAGAAAATCATTTAGACTGCGTGGATTCAACAGCTGACGCAAGGTGCAGTGAGAGTGTTAGCAACCTTGAGCTGCGAGCGGTAGGCTCAGAGACGAGTCACAAGAAACGGCACAGACGCAAAAGATGTCGGAAAGCCGCGAGAGAGAGAAAAGGTACTACGCGGGTAAAAGAAGACGCAAAACCTTTTAGCGTAACTAGTAGGACTAGGAGCTTCGCATCGGCGTTAAAGCCGTTTTGCATGTGTCCGAGCCGCCGGACGAAAAGTAAAAAGAAAGCGGGAATGCAAAAAGGAGGAGGCAAGCATCGAGGAGACAGAAAAGAGAGTAGATTACCGGCCAGTTCAACAACAAGGTCTTTGTGTCATGCAGTAAGGCACAAGCGGCGAAATCGTGGTCTACAGCGTGCATCCTCGCGACGGATTGTGCGGTGGAGATTTCGGGCTTTGCGTGGGCGAGAGTGTCGAACATGTGCTGGAAGAAGGGCCACAATAGTTAAGCACCCCGCGGGGGCCAGCCCAAAGAGGGCATGGCCACTCTTTCCCACGCATTGCTGGGGTCCCTTCCGCCAGACTGACAAGGGCAGGCTGAAATCGCGAATGAGGCGTTACAGCGCTGTTCAGCTTGTAGGACGTACACGTTGTGGTACCGGGCGTTCTGAAAATCCGCCAAGATCGCGACCGCCACGTGTGCGATTGAAGTGAGGGACAGCTGTAGGCTGGAGAAGGTGACACAGGAATTTACTGGGAAGCATGTTTGTTTGCTTATTTTTGGTTTTAAAGTAGGTAATATTCTTTTGTCATCTCCCCGGCTAGTTTGTTTAGTTAGTTTTCACTTCAATGTTTTTTTTCTTTAAACTTTGTGAGGGCTTCGAGTTAAAATGTCAAGTGTTATGCGGGAGCAGTTACCCGCATCAGTCAACCGAATGCGTGCAATGAGTTTTTCTCTGATATAAGAGCGCGTCATTCGTAGTTGAAGATTTGGTACGCCCGCTATATTTGAAAGAGTGGTGGCTATAGGCTATAGCGATATGACCTATGGTTAGGTGTGTGTTAGTAGGCTAACGCTCTTTGGATGAGAGTATGATGTCGTGCTAGAGCGCACAGCAAAGTCATGTGCGCTCTTTAAAAACATGGGCTGACATGAAACTACATCCAACAAATGAGCGTGTTAGTACACAAGCTTTACTTCATTTTGTTGTTTTAGTGATTGCTTATAGGGATCAAATGATCACTTGAGGTGAGAGCGTGGCGTTCACCAAAATTTGAGGTTAGATACCTTTCTAGGATTGATAAGACGCAGTTTGATTTGTTGTGAGAGTTTTTCACTAGCTTCCGTGTGTTCTACGAGTTGATACTCTCGACTATACGCCTTGAAAGCACGTCATGAGAGAAATGAAGAATGGGCACAGATACCTTGTGTATAGGGTCTGGCAGCATTCGTGTGAAAACCATGTAGTTGCGTATGATTAAGTTAGTATTGAGTTATCAGATTAGTTACAACATTGTAGGGCAGATGGCAGGAGAAAGTGAGTTTTTAAAAAGTGTAATTATGGTTATTTGGGGCCAAATTATATTTGCCTTTGTGTGCTTTTCTCACACGGCAGTATGTTACATCTTTGGTAAGCATCTCCACGTCCATGATTGTTGCAACTTTGGCAGCACCAAATTGTCTCAAAATTTTTGTGTACAGGTTTCTCTTTTGTTTGTGTTTCTTGAGAAGCCTGGAGGGTTTTAAGCGGATCC